TAAGCTATTGCGACTGCTGAAGTAATGGGTATATAAATTGTGAGTTTGGGAGAAATTCGTCCAGGCTCCACGCTTACCGTGTTCTCAAGCCCATATATATTCACTCTCTGCTATTTATCTATCTCCTTTATATCCTGCACAACTGTTCCTAAGTAGACATTTAACCAACACCCTCTCCCATCTATGATCCTTATGTATATTCCCAATCCTTAAGTCTTAGTCATGTGAAATGCCAGTCTCTCCTCCCCCCCCCCTCCACAGATCTCATCTTGTGGACCCACCTTTCCCCATGGAAAGAGTAAGCTATTGACATAGTTTAATAATGTTACTAAAGCTTAAAAAGTAGCAACAGTATATGAAGCGTTTGTGATCACATTTTGTCTGTTAATTTCTTATAAACTGGAACTGTAAGCACAGCACATATGTTGACGAAAAATTAGACAGAGTTCATGGGGTGAGTAAATCCTATAAAACATACTCCAACTAAGCGGAAGAAAGTAAAAAAACGTTTAGCACTCAGTGGTTTAGCATAGCCAGTATATGGGAGTCGACACGGTTGACTATCCACCCCAAGGAATATGGTCGAATACTTTGTTGGCCGGTACTCCTTGGAGAAAGTGTATGTAGAAGCGGTCCCCGTACAAAGTCGCTACTAAAGTTTTGCTTCCACAAGAGGTCGTAAGTTTGTGTGGAAATTCAATTGCATGCTTTTCTCAATGACACGAGCACATTGTCGCGTTACACCACCACAGTGTGTTCTCTATTTCAACCTCGATATGTTAACTTGTTTGTTTTCAACTAACCGATCACCAATTTATTCTATTTCTTTATCCGTTAGTCCATATCAGAGTGCAATTTATCATCAAAAACTAGCGCTCGGAACATATCAACCAGTAGTACCACCTCATTGAAGAACCTCTTCTCTCCTTTCCGAGTGCCAAATGGTCCCTTGCCTCTGATTCGACAGTCCACCGCTGCGCCGGGCAACTGTCTCCCTCCGAAAACCCACCATCGAGCCGAGCTGCTGGGCAGTAATGGACATCACGAGGGTAGCCCGAACGACTCTGCGTCCTCTCACAGTATCGGTAGCTGGAACAGTTTGATAACTCTTGATGAAGAAGTTGAGGAAGACGAAGACTGTGCCTCAGCCCGCCGCCGACGTTGCGGCCATCTCTCGAAGACACCAGTAGAAACATGCAGTCTCATCCTACCTTCAAGTTCCTCTGATCACAAGAAACGTTCCTTCGGCTCCCGTACCCGTAGCAGTAAATCGACCAAAAAACGTGGTGTTTTTCTTTTGGGCAGCGCCATTTTTCATAAACCAGTTGGAGCGGAAGGATATCAATCAGACCTGGCGTCTCGCCGCGACAGCTTCTTCAAGCGTGGATTTTTGCGCAAGTGAACGGACGATTACTGATTACTTTTGTAAATATTCCTTTGTTCGAATGTGTCCTATCAACCTTCGGAAACCTCATTCCTTATCACCTCCATTTTACCTTATATTACACAAGAAAGTGTTTAAGCTCCTTTTTCAATTCTTCTTTCTTCTGGGAGTGGTCTGTAAATGTTGACAATGATAAATAAATGTTGATAATGGTGTGTTGGCTGGACTGGGATGATAATGTTCGCGCATATGTTGCGTTCGTGAGCTGTTCATGTGCATAACCCCAAAGAACACTGCGCGTTTTACCTTCAGCAAAAACAGTACCACGTGCATTCGTTAAACATCCGATAAATTTTCTTTCGCGTCCGGGGGTGGGGTTTGGAGTTCATGCTGCCGATATTACGACGCGAAAATGCGTTTTCTTCCTACTGTGGAAATGTACTCTCACTAACTAAAGTATCAGTGCTTTGTTTGCCTCAGCAGAGCAAGACGGCATCTGTTATGTAATTGCTACCTGTTGCCCACTAATAGTTAGCTGGACTTCCCATCCCCGAGGCACGGCATAGCAGGTTTGGCCTATCCGAATTTGAACACTTCGACCTAATGCCGACGTTAAAAAGTACATACAAGCGTCCGGATTTATATTGCAGGTGGCTTCTCCGGATCGGCAAACAGTGTATCTGAAATACCTAAGACTGCGACCTCTTATCATACCACCAGTTGGTTTTCACCGGACCCAGACGTTTCCTTTCGCTAACAGAAACCGCAGCGTTCGGGACGTTGGTTGAGTTAGTTCTGATCATGAATCCGTGCACTCGGAACATGGTCACCAAGACCCTCTCAACACGATTGCAGACACGGAGGCCATGTTTTGGAAGTGATATCCTGCGTATATCTGTTTGTTTGTGGAACCCGTAGTATAGTGTAATCGGTGTAGAATCAATCTTAAACCTGAATCCGTCAAGCTGCAGAGAGATGTTTCAGGATGGATATTTATGTTCGCGTCCGTTCAGATCCACGTCCTCAGCATTGTCAAGGCCGGACTACATATGCTTCTCGGTTTTAGAAAGTTCCCGATATAGTATGTCGAATCTCATGTTTCTTCTGTTCTCACACGTTACTGATAGCCTTCCTCTAATGTACCGAAGTGAAGCTGGATAATCCATTCTGATTTGGCCCAATTATTATTTTATCTTCAACAGTTATATGATCTATGCGGGGTGGTAGAGAAATAGAACTGTTGTAAAGGCCTGATGAGAATTATCGAAAACAAACCTATGTTCACCACTTCATCTTCTGAAATTTTCAATGGGAATTTTCGCAAAGTTATATGATCCTTTCAG